AAACGTCTGTAATTTTGGGTTTTTCACAACTGGCTTGTTGTTTAGGACCTGGTTTTTAGTTCAGTTCATTTGGATAAATGCAAATACAGCAATCACACTTGAATCTGCACCAAAACAATCAGTCTGTGATCGCCTGAATGAGGTGTTCCCAGTCTCCTAAAAAAACAAAAAAACTCAGGAGCAATTCTACATGACCAATGTGGTGAGACAGCAATCGGATTCATTTGGAATGAATCGTGGGTTAACCTATAGTTGGAGTAAAGACAATTGTGAAGTTCCTAACTGAACATATTTCAGAACAACTGTCCAAAATACATAAAAATATAGCTGAAACCTTGATTCTTGCTCAAAATGATACAATAATACAACAGCAGCTATACAGAAAGCCACAACAAGCACACTGAACTGCTGTCTTTTCATTCTGATAGATGCCTTCTGAAAGCGATTCGAACCAAGAAGAAATTGCACCATTTTTGTTTCTTTCTGTTTTGGAACAAAACAATTGATCTACAAGCTTGAAAACGCCCTTATAGTTGAGGAAATGACCACCTCTGCGAGTGGCCTTTTGAGGTCTTCTAAACATAAGGCAAGAGGATTTGAGAGCCAGACCAAAATACCAAGTAATGAGTCTCAGACCATATTTATGAGTGTCGTGGAGATCCAGAGTCCAACTCTGGTGAGAGAGAGAACGTGGCAGAGATTTGTAGTGACCATCGTGACCTCATGTCCTTCAGTCAGCTCACTTTAATCCAGCTTGTTTGGGTCTGTCCTTCAGCCCATCACAGCAAACCGAGGCCAAACATATTGGATGCCCCACTGACTCCTTACAATGCCAGCTTGCTGTTGCAATAGAGAAAGAGAGAGAGAGAGAAAGAGAGAGAGAAAGTAGGTACGAATGTGTGTGTAAAGTAGTATATAAGTCCCTATGAAGTCAATTACCCCCAACAACAAGCATGTAAATATAATATGATAATATGAGAAATGAAAATGAGGTTTATTGTTTATTAATTAATTAATTTATTTAATTCAGTTTTTTATTATGTTTTTATCTTTTATTTTTTCTTATTGCTTTCTGTTTTAATATTTCTGGACAGTTTTTTTTCAGATAATTAAGATAATAATAAGTCAGATAATTCAGAAATTCAGAAGTCAGAAATTCAGAATGAATTTGTTTATTTATTGAATTATTAATTAATTAAGTAAATTATTTATTTACTGAATTTTTTATTAATTTTTTGAATTATTAATTAATTTATTTATTGAATTATTTATTTATTGAATTAACAATTTATAATTTTTTTATTTGTTTATTTATTTGTGTAATTATTGAATTATCTATATTGACTTATTTATTCATTTTTTATTGACTCATTTATTTATGTATTTATTGACACATTTATTTACTTTTTTATTTAATTATTGACTCGTTTATTTATATATTTATTTATTTATTTTTCTGTTTTGGATTTTTCATATGACAAATTTAATTATAAGCATAGACTTATGTTCTTTTATATTTATTCATCCAAACGTCACCAAATTCATATTATTACAACTGGATTCTGTCCACATTTTCCACATTACTGAAATCATAGGGCAAATGAATAGAGAACATTCATGACAAAAGTGACCATCGTAATGAGCCAGTCATTTCTGATTCCTTCAACCCCAGTCCAGCCATGCTCGCCAAAACTAGACCATTACCCATTCCTGGTGTGCCAGCGTCCCACACAGCATCCCAGTGCCAGATCCAGATCCTGACTCTTCACAATGCAATAAATACTGGCCGCTGCTGCTGCTGCATCAGCTTGGCCAACCTAATCAAAGACAATGACTGCATTTCAGGAGATTGAGATTTATATATTTAAAAAAACACACAGTGATTAAAGATGCTGTTCTTGGAATGCTGTACAGTTGTGCTAGCAAAAGACTTCATATCACAATCATAATTCACTTTAAAAAAGGAAATTAACCTGCCACTTAGTTACTTTTTTAATGAAAGTCATGTGACCGTTCATGGCATTTTCACATTTAATTTTTTAAGAGTAAGGTAAACAGTTATAATATAGTAATAGTATACTGTATAAAAGTAATATATTACTTTTGTGGAGTGCAACGGCTCCCCTGTCCCACCACAGTTTTCCATTTATCCAGCATTTACAGCTGCATATTTTAGCATTGATGTTGTGAACTCTGTGCATCGTTTGCTTTTATAATTTTAAAGTGCAAATCGCAGTAGAGAATCTTAATCTCAACTTAAATAATGTTTTAATTTTAAGTTTGGCTTGTAATTTCTTATTTAATATTAATTGATATGTTCAACATGACCTACCTTAGGACATGGACATATAAGAAGCACATGTACCATACAACAAAACGAAACATTTTTCAGATTCGCAAAAAAAAAAAAAAAATAGACATTGCCCTCTAGTGGATTTGTCATCTGAAACGTGCAACAAAATGTACCCGCAGCAAGATATTTTACGTTTTTTTACGAACTGTTTTTCGGTGTTGGGAGTAGGATTTTCCCTCCAGACACCAACAACAGGTGCTATATCATAATCATGCCCCCACAATAGCAAGCTTCTGATTGGTTAATGCAGAGCGCATGTCCACTGAAGTTCAGATTTTTAACTCAAGCTATATGCGTGATACACGGGTTAATCACTAAATTGTGCAAAATGCTCAACTTGCACCACTTCATTTGCGTGAATCGCTTAATTTGCGTCGCCCTTTTCGCACGTATCATGCTGCAAGATGTCTATTTGCGCCTTTGCATTGACTTAACATTGTAAATCTTGCACGCTTGGTGCTTCTTCCATGTCGGATGTGAACACAGCATAATAGGTAAATTTTAATTAATGCAGTGGCAGTATTGCAAAACGTAACATATTTCAGATTTGCAAAAAATGTAGACAGTTCCTTCTAGTGGATTTCTTGGAACGTGCAAGAAAACGTAGCCGGAGCAATGTATTTTGTGTTTTGCCTAATATGTAAGCTGAGGTACATATTTCCGATATATCTTTGCAGAAACTTTACTTGCTGGCAGTTTTATGTATAACATTTAGGTAGAGGTTAGTATGTAAAGGTTTATTAATGCAGTGGCAGAATTACAAAATGTAACATATTTCAGATTTGCAAAAAAATGTAGACAGTGCCCTCTAGTGGATTTCTCATCTGAAATGTGCAATCAAAGGTAACTGGAGCAAAGTATTTTACATTTCGCGAAAAAATTTAAAGCTGAGATTTGTTTTGCCAATATATCTTACAGAAACTTTAGGTATAGCTTTAGGTAAAACTTGCTCTTGATGACTTTAATTAATGCAGTGGCAGTATTTTGCAGTGTTATTGACAACTATATTGAGTATCAATACTTTTAAGTTACCGTATCGAAGTTATAAATTCCAGCATTGTGACAACACCACTATGCAGTGGCTTGTAGTTGAAGAGCACAGTCATAGTCAGCAGGAATGGAGTGTGACGCTGATGCACTCTGGGTTTGGAGCTCTAGCTCGCAGTGTCGACAGCTTCATTGATTATAGTCAGAGCGATCTGCTTTTATTTACTGCTCACTTCAAGTTTAAACTGAATGTCAAAGATTCACCGGCACCACATTTGCCACAGCCTCATATATTATTTTTTTATGCTCAGCCAGCAAACAGGATTGTTTATTTACTATCCCATCAGCGTCTTTCCACTGTAATTTAACAGCCTTTTTCAGGTCATGCAATTGCTATCTTAGGAGCAACAACATCACCAAAAGCATATAAATTTGATTGGGTATTATCATAGCAGATGGGTTTCTTTCTTGCTTGCTCCAAGAACGCTTTATCATGTCATTAAAGTTCAGTTCTCTCACCATTTTGCATTTTATAGCGTTTAAGAAAGTGAGCTAGTTTTCTTTTTATTATTTTCTTGTTTGTAGATTCTGGTGGTTGTTGTTTTAACATTTCTTTTACATATTTCTTTTACACTGTCAAATGATTTCGCCTCACACTGAGCCATATTATTGATCATGGTTTATATAAATATTGCATTGAGCAGTTGCACTTTGAACACTTTTTTTATATAATAGTAATGATTCCTTACATTTATATAGCGATTTTCTGGACACTTAAAGCGTAAAAGTAATGAAGCCATTTATGATATGGGGATGGTTAGGAGGCCATGATGGACAGAGCGGAGTGGGCAAATTTGGCCAGGATGTTATTAATAAATTAGACTAATTACTGTATGATTTATATTTTATTGTTCTGCATTGCTCAGTTATTGGCATTAAGTGAATTTAAACAATTATACTTATTTTAACTAATAATAATAAGTATATTTATATAATGTTTTATTATTATATTATTAAAAATGTATGAATAAATAATATTGATATAATTTATATAATAGTGGTGATGATTATTATTGAATTGACTACATAATTATTAGTGTAAAACAATAATTATACATTTTAAAAATACAGTTTTTTTTAATATGCCCTGTTTCTCAGTTTCAATTAAGTAAATCTATATTCTATAAAATGTATTAATATTTTATATAATGTGTTAATATTTAGATTTTTGGTTTCATTTTTTTCTGTTTTTAATTAAATGCTTGCTTTTTTTTTTTAGCAATTATGTACTATTTCATTAAGAATTTCTTTTTAGCGTTCATGTTTATTTAGTTTTTTTATTTTAATACATAAACTGGAACATATTTTATTTCAGGCAAAATCATTTTCAATTTTGTTGCACACATGTATGCTTTGGATTTAATATTTATATTTTAATTCAACAAAATATGCCCTTTTAACAATTAAGTTGATATAACAAGTGCTTTTTTCTTAAATCACAAGAGCAGTCTGCTACTTTTAAAGGCAGATGCCCATATTAATAATGCATCAGTGTGTGTTCTACAGTAAATGATCTGTGATATACAGGATATATTAAGTACAGTAGTCATTGTTTACTTCAGTCTTGTCTTTATGTTTATGCTTTGTGTTTAATGTGCAGGCAGTGGACTATGAGAGCCGCAGCTCTTACTCTTTCTCAGTGGAGGTGCTGAACCCCATTGTGGACCCTCGATTTCTGCGACGTGGGCCCTTTAAAGACAGGGCCTCCATTAGAGTAGCTGTGCTGGATGCAGACGAGCCTCCTCGCTTCTCACGCGCTCGATACCGTATGGACGTGTCTGAAAACTGTCCACCGGCCTGCACAGTTGGCCGCATCAGTGCTGTGGATCCAGACACGGGGCTTACAAACAATATCAGGTATGCTGGAAAAAATTAATTAATGTAATTAATTAAAGTCCATATGAGTATGTTTTCAAATTATTTGTATACATCGTTTACATGTAAACTTGTTTGTTTAGGGGTTAAAAACTGTGACTTTTCAGTTACATTTGCATATTGTCAATTTGTTTTCTCAAAATTGTGAAATGTAAACTCGTATGTAAATTTGTATTTACAACTTTTAAACATGCATGAAGAATTAATGGAGAACTAATAAAACTACATTGTTTCATATCAAGTAAAACTGTTTAAAAGGCATATTTTGTTAATTAAATTAAAAAAAAATATTATTAGATTCAAAGCATAAACGTGCAACAAACATGATAATGAGCTTGCCTGAAATAAAATATGATCAAATTTAAGTATGAAAATATCATTATTGTATACATAAATACTAAATAGAAACTTGTAATGAATGAAGTACATAATTGCTATAACTTATGAAAACATTCAATAAAAATAAAAAAGCAATAAAATTAATACATTATATAAAAGAACATAAATAAATCTGTAGTAAAACTAATAACATAAACGGCATATTAATAAATGTTTTTTTATTCTATAATTATTGATTAATGCCAATACTAAAACTGTCAAAACAATAATCATCATCATCATAAATGTAAATAAATCATCATAAGAAAATAAATGTAAAGTTGTATTACTGAGATTTTTATTTTATTTTACAAGATATAAACTCAATTTTAAAAGTGGAAAAATAAATTTTGAGTCTATTTTTTTTTCAAATCTGATTAAAAAAAAAAAAAACAAAGAAATAATACACATTTTCAATTTATATTTTTTAACCTTAAAAACAAAGCATAATTGTGAGCTAAAAATATTTACGTTTTAATTAGTTTCTTTTTATTAGATTTGGAAAAACAGTCACAATTTATAGTTTTTTTATCACATTGCTGATGTGTGTATTTCTGTATTTTATATATAGCAATTAAAATTTAGGAATTAGTAGTTTCTAAATACATTTTTTTAAATCAGCTTGTTTTTAAGCTTTTATTCTTTTTCATTTGTAAAGATATTGTTGTACTGCTGTACATCCTGTGTGTATTAAGCAATGTGTACGCATTTAAGGCACACAACTAACATGCTCTGCGCTGGACTTTAGACCTGCTTTCAGCTGGTCATTTTAGTTCCTCAAAATAGCAACGAACCAACAGGACGCCTTAACACACTTCCTTTCTAGATGGGAACATTCATGAGTCTACAAAGCAACACCAATTAATTTACTATTTAAATAACGTGGTGGAAAAACTGGAAAATAGGGTTGTGTTGGTCTGACAACAGCAACAAATCGTGCCAAACACGTCTTGCGCCTTATTGTACTCGGTGTAGGATAGGGCCCTAATTCTTTATTCTCACAATCTTCCCCGCTTTTTCAGTAAATGTGCAGGTGTATTAATCAATCTTTTAGATTCCATATAAAATGACTTCATGCATCATCTTGAATGGAAAATACTCCCTAATATTCACTCAGTGCAGCATATTATGAGATTGTATTTCACACAAAAAGATCCATGCTGCCTTAAACTTGGCTCTAATAAGAAAATCTATAAAGGCAGCATAATTCTGCTGCCTGTTTTTTGGAACAGGCTTCACATAAGGAACGTGCCTGGGATACCTAAATCAGCAGCCCTGGATAGGCAGCTCATTAGGGTTTGGAAAGCAGCCATTTTGTCAGTAATTAATTATGTTTATGCTCTTCTCTGTTCAATGCTAAAACACTTCAAAACATTATCACAGAGATCAGGGTGTTCCTGTTACAAGATGCGCTTGCTTGTTTCCATATGGACAATCCCAAAGATACTGATCAATATTCATCCCGGTGAACTTGAGTTATTTCAACACTGCCTGCTTAGGGATCTGAGGATTCCTACTTTGCCAATCGCAGCTCTTTTGTTTCGTGCCACTGGGTTTAAAGCAGCTCCTGAATGACAGATTTTCTGATAAGCTGGGGCTCAGTGCATCTGCTCACCTCTTGTGTACGCCACACATTTCCCGCTCTCTCCATTTGTCTTTCTTTGTCTGTTTTCTCCCTCAGGTTCTCCATCGATCCTCAGTCTGACCCAGAAGCTCTGTTTCGCATCACTCCAGACACAGGACTCATCACTACAGTCACCGAGCTGGACCGTGAGCATGAGCAGTGGCACAATATCACCATCATCGCCACACAGAGAGGTACACACACACATATAGTACACAAACACACTTGTATTTATGGTTTATAAGGTCTTTCTGAAGGCATAATGTATTTAATATTGTAAAAAAATCTTATTTTATACCCTTCTCTACACCTGCCCCAAAACCCAACCCTCAGTGGAAGATACCAAAAGACCCTGTTAAGTAGGATTTTTAAGTGTTCTGAATTACAAGGACATAGTGTCCTCATAAACCACCTTAATAGAGTACAACTAGGTGATACCCATGTCGGTTTTGATTGTAATGCAATAATGAGCACCTTTTGGTAAAACTGCTTTGAAACATTAATTACGTGAAAAGCGCTATATAAATAAACTTGAATTAAAGTCCCTTTAAGGCAAGTCATTTCACTCTGCGGCCATTTTTTAAACACCTCTCGGGCGTTCTGTCTGAATAGGGAAACATGAAATTCTCCAAAACTGTTTGCCAAGCTTATAATTATATTACATATTTGGAATCACCAATAAAATTAAACAACAACTGTCACATCAGTTTTGTATCTAAACATTAGAATTAAACAAAATTAGCATATTTTCAGCTGTGTGTGCACATGCGCACTCAAAAAAAAAAAAAAACAAGATCACGACAACAACCTCATTTGTGGCTGTTTTACACTTTACCGTCTTCTGAACTAATTCACAACTTGGTCTTTATAGTGAATCTCCTCCAGAAATAACAGCGACTCTTTGTTTACAAGTTTGTGTGTTTTTGAGTAGTTGCTGTCATGTGATGTGCATTTGACAGGACGAACTGTAACTTGTGTTCTTTTCATACAGATTACAAAACCAAAAAACTTATAGTTGGTTCATTTAAAAGTACAATGTTTTAAGTTTTATGTGGATATATTTCTAATGTCTGTAAAGCAAGTATTCGCTTAGATTCCAGTGTGTGTATAGCGATCAATGATTGGCTCCTGTAATAGTAGGCGTTCATTCGCCATATTGACTGTTACAGGTTTTCCCATTCAAAACTATACTGTACGTGTGACACATCTTGTGTATTCTATAGTCTTTGATTGAATCGAATCATTAAACAATGTCCACATAAACCACATACACTCACACATGTTGGGGTTCCATGTTTTATGGGGACTTTTCAAAGACCAAATTATTTTTATGTTGTAAAAAGTGTATTTTTTAGCCCCTACCCTTAAACATTACCCTCGCAGTAAATGCTCTGCATTACACAATTTTAATGAAGCATTATTTTGCATGACTTACAAGCTGTTTTCCTCCTTGGGAAAAAAATGTCCCCACAAGGTCAATAATGACCAAGTACTTACTCTACTTGAAAATATTTCACCAAACTACAAATTAGCTATCTATAGTGAAAGTTTTATAATTGTATTACTAATTTAATTTAGTATAAATATTAAATGTGCAGCTATATGTTGAAATCAAAGCTCTTTGAGGTTTCTGGATGTATCAGTGAGGGGATTTACAGTGGGTGAGGGGTGTGACAGCATTAAACAAAACATGGTGCAACAACAAAAATAAGATACAGCCAAATGGAATATTGATAAAGAATAATTCTAAAACAAAAAACAGCAGTGACTTCTGCATAGTTAACCCAATCTCACAGGTAAATATATATATATATATATATATATATATATATATATATATATATATATATATATATATATTTTTTTTTTTTTTTTTTTTTTTAAATTAGTGGCATAAGTCGTTTTTGTTTTTTATTTTAATTCTGGTAAACCTAAATTCATAAACTACAAGAACAACATCCTTAGAAGAGGAGTTTACATTCTACATTTTCTGTTAAATCAGTATTCCTTTTAACCCTAAAACACCACAATGATTAACTAAAAGTATGTACCCTGCACTTAAAGCACCTGTGAAAAATGAGCATGAAAAATGAACACATTACACCATACTGTATTATTACAGATTTCTCTTAGATTGTAAGGAAAACTCCATCACTCCTGCCTTTGAAAGACGACACAGTTCAGTTCAGGAGAGCACATTAGAGTAATGCTTCAGTTTGCTTAACTGTAAAACCATGCGCACAATACAATGTGACATTAGAAACAGTGATTTGTCACCGGCACACACGCTTTCAAAAGTAGCTTATTACTGGAAAAGCTGCACTATTCTTGAGCAACTGTCAGGCTACTGAAAAATGCATTGCTTTTTATAGTTCATAGCTCCCTAAGATAAAGTGACATGCACATCGGTCAGTATAACTTACTGTTCTTTAGGTCAAGTATACTTAATTCTGGTTCAAAATACCCACGCCACCATGCCCGCTTAATAAAATAGTGGTGCTAAACAGATTACCATTCATGTGATTTATTTATGAGCTACTGTATACTCGTGCACGGATTAAACGTGGCTTAAAACATACATTGAATTTGTGTTAGTAGAGGATCTATAGTGCTGTGTTACAGTTTGGGAAGTAGGTCTAAGCAGCTTCAGGGAGGCCTGATGGCTATTATAAGCAAAGCCTCTTCTTGGTAATGTGAAGCAGTGGGCACTAATCCACAACATCATGTCACAGCTGTGTGTGTGTGGATGCTGTCCAAGACATTTGTGTGAAAGCCGTCCAAACCACAGGCAAGTGTGTGGGACTGAATTATAACGAGAGAGACAGAATGGTTCAATTTCTCTTTAGGCTCACACCAATCCATTAAGTTGGTTCAACGTATACTGCAGTACCAATATGCCAACGGAAATATATCTTGAATTAAAAGCTACCGAAAGCTGTTTGTTTGTTATGACAAGCCATTTGTCTGCAGTATGACAAGTGACTGCTGAAACCTCTGTGTTTAAAAGCAAGGTGCCATGCTGCCTACTGCCTAGCATCATAATCATATGCTTATCACTAACTGACTTCTGGACAAAAATCCTGGTTGCCTTACATTTTTAAGCTGAATCAAATTAACCTTATGAGTACATTGAACTTATACTATGTTAAACTGACTTAAAACTGCTTGCATAACTTATAAAATTAAGTTAGAACATGAAGTTACAATGAACTAAAAGCATATGCTGTCATGACAATTTTTTTATTTAATTGTTTACAGTGTAGTTATCTAACCATTTCGAAATGCCTTTCACCCTTAAATGATGTATGATGTACACTGTAAAATTTTCTTAATGTTGTCCAACACAAATCAATTAAATTAATATAATGGTTTTTTTTTTTACAAATTTAAGTGGATTAAAAATAAATAAATTAAGTTGTACCTAAAAAAGAAGAATTGTGTTGTTTGAATTCATTTACAATTAGATTGAACAAGCAATAAAAGTCATTTTTAGAGTGTATTATTGTAATAAACACTCACCGGCCACTTTATTAGGTACACCTGTTTAACTGCTCGTTAATGCAAATTTCTATTCAGCCAATCACATGGCAGCAACTCAATGCATTTAGGCATGTAGACTTTGTCAAGATGATCTGCTGCAGTTCAAACTGAGCATCAGAATGGGGAAGAAAAGTGATTTAAGTGACTTTGAACATGGCATGGTTGTTGTAGCCAGAATGGCTGGTCTGAGTAATTCAGAAACTGCTGATCTTGGATTTTCACGCACAAATATCTCTAGGGTTTACAGAAAATAGTCAGAAAAAGAGAAAATATCCAGCAGCAGTTCTGTGAGTGCAAATGCCTTGTTGATGGGTCAGAGGAAAATGGCCAGATTGGTTTGAGCTGATAGAAAGGCAACAGTAACTTAAATAACAACAAGTTAAAACCGAGGTATGAAGAAGAGCCTCTCTGAATGCACAAAGCGTTAAACTTTGAGGCAGATGGACCACAGCAGCAGAAGATCACACCGGGTACCACTCCTGTCAGCTAAGAATAGGAAACTGAGGCTACAATTTGCACAGGCTCACCAAAATTGGACAATAGAAGATTGGGAAAATGTTGCCTGGTCTGATGAGTCTCGATTTCTGCTGCGACATTCAGATGGTAGGATGTCATAAAGCGTGAACCATCTCATACTGGTTTCTTGAACATGACAATGAGATCACTGTTATCAAATGGCATCCACAGTCACCAGAATTCAATCCAATAAAGCATCTTAGCGATGTGGTGGAATGGGTAATTCACATCATGGATGTGCAGCCAACAAATCTGCAGCAACTGCGGGATGCTATCATGTCAATATGGACCAAATTCTCTGAGGAATATTTCCAGAAGGATTAAGGCAGATCTGGAGGCAAAAGTGGGTCCAACACGGTACTAGTCAGGTGTACCTAATAAAGTGGCCAGTAAGTGTAGTATTATAATATAGTTGTTTCTGGTCATCTGGGATATGTTTCACATTAACGAAGTAGATAATCATGCAAGTAATCTTAATGGTCTGTTTCTCAAAAGCATCCTAACTTACGTAGCACTTTAAATTTGTTGTGGTTCTATGATCTACTGTAGCATTGTAAAAAGACAGACTTACAGTACAATGTCACCTGCAGGACAATCAGCAGATTAGCTTTAACCATTAAATAAAATAATTAAGAAATACTGAAAACAAAGCCAAAAAATACACATCTAAATTTTATGATGGAACAAAATATGAATAAATGAAGCAATGTGCTGGGAAAAATAGGAAAGAATTTCAAAATAAATCTGTCAATGGTTTGCTGACTTGCTGCATTAAAATCCCCCATGTATTGGCCATTTCTTGTGCAAGTCTTTCTTTTCTTTCTTTTTCCAGACATTTTGCTATTGTCTTGGTTTGAAAGTAGGTGCTTTATATAGATTGTCTTCAATTCGGTGATAAGTATTGGCTTAAAGGCACAGCATTTAAGAATGTTTTCGTAAATATATGCAAAAATACTTTAACATCGTTATATATTTTTTTTTACTTGTGTACTTGCATTATCCCAAATATTATAAAGAATGTTCAAATGCAGAGAAACAAGCTAGTGACATGGAACGTGTGTCTCCATGACAATGACATCATACAACCTCGATTTCTGATTTGATTTAATAGAAAACTGGGAAACACCAAAGACATTTTAAAATGTTACGCATTATAACAAAAATCTGTAGAACTTTGCTGCTTCTATCCAATCACAAGATCACAAGAACTGGAAGTGGTCAATTGTGGCATAATAAAAGCTCTGTTGCTTTCGTGCAGCATTCTGTAGTTCCATAGGATGTAATGAAGACAACAACTCCCATGATTCCACACTGATTCATGAGATCATAAAAAATCGCCTTTGTTTATTGCGAATATTCACCCTCTAGTGGTTAAAATTACATACTGTGCCTTTAAAGTTTCAGGATAAGACTCCACATAAGGTTATATTTTTAGCTTTTCACAAATGAGAATACACATACCACACAGTAGCAGTAGAAAAGTAGCACATACAGTAGAAGCTGCTCTAGTAAGCAAGTTTCACACAATTTTGGGAAACACACATGCATTGCAATAAGAGTTCTTAACTTTACACATATGACTTGTATCATCTAAAATACGTTGTCATCTAGAAACCAGCACCTGGTCTCTGCATATTCAGAAAATAATGCTTTGGGTGGTGATTTGCAAGTAGCAACTATTGTAAATATTATTTGTAAATACATCTGTAATTTACACAGATGATTCATTTTATACCTTGACCCATCCTTTAACATACTCATATCACAAAACCTGTCTCTAATGTTAAACAATGACTTTTGCAATACAGTACAGTTGATTACATTACATGATTACAGTTATTATACATCTAAATATAAAGAGGGAGCACTTTGTTTTTTTACAGTGCATAACATGACTGCATTATCTGCATAGGACGCATGTGATGCTGCTACTTTTTGTCGTAGTCTTCACATTCAACCTTAAAATAGCACCTTGGCTGGCAGCTCGCTAGATTTTAGAAAAGAGCATGACTGTGTAAAAAATGTTGCCATTCAGCGTATGATTTTCGCACATGGAACTGTGTGATAAACTTTACAAAAGGGCAATTTACCTCGAGTGGCCGAGACTCGAGGCGAGCACATCTCTGAAAGTGGCTCAAGCTGTGTTGTGCGTGCGTATTGTGGGTGATTTCCTGTCTCTGCTCTCTCATTTACCTCAGATAACCCCAGCCAGGTGTCCAGAGTGGTGGTTGCAGTAGAAACCCTGGATTTAAATGACAACGCTCCAGAGCTGGACAGGCAATACAACACTGCAATGTGCGACTCTGCTTCCACCGGACAGGTGAGAGAAAAAGCCAGATTTTGGGCACAATGAAGGGCACACATGTCTCCATTGACTGGTTCATTTGTTACTGTAAAAGCAGAGGAAGCGCTCTAATGAGAGTGCTTTTCTTAAGCTCTGCAATTAGGTAATTGTCACAGATGAATTATGGGTGATTAATTACCTTTTTCTCAAGACTTCAACCATTTAGGAGTGCTTTGTGTTCATATGGATTTGGATTTGGTGGTGCATGGCGTTCCTCTCATTTTTTTTTCTCCTGCACATCTGTGAATGTGTCCATTTATATAGCCTGTGCACTGATTGATTACTTCTGCCTTTCCCCTGCGGCTGAATCACTGCTATTCCCATTTAGAGGATGCTTCACTCGTTCTCATCTCCTCTATAGATATACATTATAATCTGCTCATCTTTTGCTCTGTTGGCTTTCATCCATTTTGCTTCTCATTCCAGTTCCTTATACATTTCGAGTGCCTGCCTACTCCACGTTTCTGTACGTTTCGTTTTTTTTGCCTGACTCATGCTTTTCTTTGATTCTTAATTGGGTGGCGTGCATCTGTTAAGCTGTTGTAGCTTGTGTCCTTTTTTCTGTCTTTCATTCTGCTGTCTTCGCAGAATGCAGTCAAATGAAAGCTTATAGTGTTTTTGCCAAGTTGAAGAAGTGTTATCAGTACACCTTGCTATAGTTTTGGAACAAAATTGGGTGTTTTTTATAAGTTAATGTGCACGTGAAACTGAAACAATGCAGTGCTTCCAACAAATATAGTTTACTTGGACGGGCCACCCAGGTATATTAACGGTCACCCAAGTAAATTAAAATTTTTTTACCACTATTATAATCTTTTTACAATTTTTTTCGGATCCGCCAAAGGTAGTAACCGCACATGCCGTTTGATTAACCAGTGGAAAATTTTCTCTCGCCCTACACATTTTGTACTGCTCATTGTGTATGCGCGAGAACTGTCAACAACACTTCCTCAGAGAGTCTTACATGCTCTGCAGAGACCCACAGTGATGTGACTTTTTGAGGCTTAAAAATTCGTCCGGCGACTCTGGCCAGTCTTGCTAAATCTCCTAAAATGTCTGGAAGTCGACTTTTGCTTTTGCTTTCTAAAGTTGTTGCGTTTTTACATTACTCTTTTATTAAAAACTTCTTTCCGCTTGGTTGAGAAAGAGACAGAAAGAAAAAGTAAATAATAATAAAAGTTAAAAATTAATTTTGTGTCACATGTAATTAACCATTAATGTGCCTTGAGTAAAGGATGTGTTTCAGTCCGGCCATTACTGCTAGTATTTTTCAAACCTGGGACACTGAGAGGGACACTGCAATGATGAAACTTTTTAAAAATTACATATAAGCACTTTTCATGACATTATTCTTGTTTCTGTTAAAATGCTTGCAGTTCCATTAACCAAAGTTATGCTATAAAATGTTTGAATCTTAAAACCATAAAAAAAAAATTATTTGTAAAGTTATATATTACTCCATGTGAGGTTATATTTCAGCTCATTGGAAATGAAGGTATAATGCATGTAGCACATAGTGGCAGTAGTAAAGTAGCACATAGAATGTGCTCTAGTAAGCTCTTGGTATAGACCTTTTTAAGAAGCACAAATGAAATTGCAATGAGAGTTCAAAACTTTACACACAGAGAGGACGTGCAATATCTAAGAGACACTGGCTGTTTCTCAATTCCAAGAACGCAGAGAATGGACTTGCGTTCTTGTAGAGTGCGGTCTTGCCAGGTGTCCTCGGAAGAACGAACTCAGGAGACCGCGAGGGCAGAGAACGCGTCCTTTGAGAAATGGGATGCTGCGCTCTTCCTGATGGTCATGTGACCTTCACGCGTTTTAAATTGAAATTATTTAAAAATTACAGCCTTCATACAACGATTTATTATTTCCCCCCTCTTCAAAATATATACTTTGCATAAAAACATTATAAATATACTCTGCACAATATAAATAAAAAAAATTTAATACGAATTTCATCAAACAAACAACCTTAATGTGTTTATTCCTTTATTAAGATGTTCATGTTGATGTTTACTTTCACCGTTTCATTTAGGGAAACTCCTGAGGTAAATAAGTAATATCTCTGAACTTTAATAATAAATCTAAATAAAATGCTGCGCTTCCCACCTCCAGTCGCAATGACTTCTGGGACTTCCAGAGCGAGCTCGCTGCTGAAGTCTGCATCGGTGCGTCCTCGATATCAAGAACACATCCGGGAAGTTTCACGCGTCCTCCGTACTTGCGGTCTTGAGTATTGGAACTGAACTTAGGCAGCTGATGATGACGTTGCACGAGAACACGAGGACGCAAGACCGCTGAAGAACGCATATTGAGAAACAGCCACTGTTATCGGGAAACCCACTCCTGGTCTCTGCATATTCAGTTTGGGCTATAGGAGTTAGATCATTTTAAGCTTTAAAATGTGAAAGTCCTTAAAAAATCAGATGCCAATTTAGTGCTCATTTACATTGCATATATAGATACACTTCCTTTCACTATCAATGCTGAAAAGAGTTGTGGAAACAGTGACGTGCTTTTCAAGATTTTTTGGTGAATAAAGTTGGATGAATAGAATATTCTTTGAGATGCATCTCTTATGTAACATTATAAACTACATTTACACAGTTCATTTTAATCCGTCCTTGCTAAATAAAAGCATTTATTTCTCATAAAATAGTTTATATACAAGAAGCTCATACTGTACACAGTACTCTTTTGTGTGTTGCTTTTCATCGATACAACTTATTTATGAGAAAACCATTTATAGAGATAGAAAAGATCCCTTTTTTGATGTAACACAAGTCATTTACTTTGAATAAAAGCTCTTTGTGAATGTCTGCTTGTTTATGTATTTAAGTGGAAGCTTGTGTAACTTCTTTGTGGCGAAGAAAGTTTGGTGACCCTTAAGCCTGTGCAAACTACTAATGCGACTTGACGTTATTTCAGTACAACGCTGAAATCACAAGGAAAAAACCACCCTTTTTCATGCCTCAGCACAATCGCCTTCAGCTCTGATCTGCATCGCACGGCTCATTTTTGTTTTAACTTTTCTCCCTAATGTGTAAGGGGGGAGCACTGCAAAAAGAAGCCCGCCGAATGATTATTTCTAGTTTAAGTGGATCTCTGGAGTCGGCGCCTCGTTTTTAGAGCTGCGTCTATGTTTGGGTGTTCCCCAAGGCTTAGTACTCGGTCAGACTTAATTATTGTTTGACTGCGCGGTGTGGGCTAATCAGTCTCCAGTCACCTATTTGCAAAGGTGCCGGCGAGGTTAATGCTGATATCTGAGATTAAAATGTGCATCCGTTTTTTTTTTTTAAACAAATCTCTCCTCTCTTTCCATTACGCTTTCGCTCTCCTCTACCCTTTCTCTCCTTCCTCGCTTTTGGCTCTGCTCCTTACTTTGTTACTCTCTCTCTCTCTCTCCATCTTTCTCCTATCTCATTTTCTCAGGTGGTGCAGGTGTTGCGGGCGATTGATAGAGACGAGGGGGGAAATGACAGCGCCGTCCATTTCAACATCCCTCCGGACTCCAACGCTGCCCTCAACTTCAGCATCAGGGAGAGTGGAGGTTTGCAGTCTCTTCCACAATTTGTTTCTCCCATCCAGCCTTGTGCATCGGCGTCTCTCTTGATCCGTTAGTCTGTGTCTGCGACCGCATTGTGTGGCTGCTTTGTGCCCTGCGCTTTTGTTTTCCCCATTGTTTGCTTTTGCTTCTCTGCCACATCTATCTTCTCCCGACACACACAGACGAAATGTGCTCTGGCATTCATGCCGCATTTGGACTCACTGGTCTGTACAAATGTTATACGAGCGGCAATGGAATTAAAGTGCACTCGATTGAGTTCAATTAAATTAAAGTTCCATCGAGCACAATTTGATCTAAAAGCCTTCCATTTTTTTTCCTGTGTTTCTCAATTTCTTTGCTATTATTGTCCTCTTTTCCAGGCCCCACTGCTAGCTTGGTGCTGGCATCACCTTTGCAGACTCTGTCTCGCTCTACTTCATCCTCGATCACCCTTTATGTCCCGCTGGTATTAAGGGACGGGCTTTCTGGTTTGACCAGCACGGGGACAGTGACGGTGTCTGTGTGTCCCTGTCTGAGGGGCGGAGCACGGGCTGGAGAGAAGGAGAAGCAGAGTGAGGCAGAGTGGGACCGGGAGACGGTTTGTTTGCCCCAGCACTCCTCCTTACCCTCTCCTGGACTCAGCACTGCCGCCCTGCTGGCCATTTTAGCCTGTGTGGCCACTCTTTTGGGTAAGTTTAATATCTTCCAAGTGATAAAGGTTTATGTAGTCAGGTGTGATAATGTATAGTCATTATGGAATTTTAATTGAATCAATGGGATAGCCCCTTGAGATGAACCCTCTCATTTCTGAGGGGAATCATTATGAAAAATAAATAATGAACGGTTGATGAAGACCAAACAGAACAGATTTGGGTTGAAATTGTTTTGTTATTTTTACTGCATGTGTATTGATCTAGGCCACATGGTGGCGCAGTGGGTAGCACTGTTGCCTCACAGCAAGAAGGTCGCTGGTTCGAGCCTCTGCTGGGTCAGTTGGCATTTCTGCGTGGAGTTTACATGTTCTGCTCTTGTTCGCATGGGTTTCCTCTGGGTGCTCCGGTTTCCCCCACAGTCCAACGACATATGCTATAGGTGGATTGAGTAAGCTAAATCGTCCGTAGTTTATGTGTGTGAATGAGAGTGTGTTTCCCAGTGATGGGTTGCAGCTGCGTAAAACATATGCTGGATAAGTTAGCATTCATTCTGCTGTGGTGATCTCTGATTAATAAAAGGACAAAGCAGAAAAGAAAATGAATGAATGAATGAATGTATTGATGTAGTTTATTAAAATTACATTTAAATCTATTCAAATTCTTTGCTGTCCATTGAAATAAAGTTGATATTACATATTGGATGCAAAAACAAACAAACAATAATAAAAACAAATCTGAAGTGTTTAACGGTCCTGTGAAATTAAAATAAGCTTGTTTAGATGTTAGTGTCTGTCTGTTAGTTTTAAGGATATGTATGAGCTAGTTGTCACATTCCCCTAAAAAATAGAACAACAAGGAAGGATCCAATATATCCAACAGTGCAAAAACAGGTCAAAAACAGAGAAAGAAAATAAACATTCTGAATTGAAAAGCCGAAGAAGTCCAGATCTAAGTAGCAGTCCAGAAACAGCTAGAAGTCCTGAGATAGACAAGAGCGACAATGATACAAACACCCAGTGCTCATGATAATTAGCCCCAGCTGCTGTAACTTAATCAGCACAGCTGATCAGCAAATCAATATGTCATGTGACAAAACAACACCAACACACCACTAAACTTCAGTTTAATTCAATTCAATTCTATTCATGTTCATTTCTATAGCGTTTTTAGAATGTAGATTGTGTCAAAGCAGCTTAACATAGAAGTTCTTGTAAAGTCCAGATTTCAGAGTTCAGTTTAGTGTGGTTTAATTTTCACTGCTGAAAGTCCAAACACTGAAGAGCAAATCCATCAATGCACAAATCCGCAAGTCCCTAAGTACACAAGTCCCAAACCAAGCAAGCCAGTGGCGACAGTGGCGAGGAAAAAAACTTCACCAATGGACGAAGTGAAGAGAAAAAAAAAAACACATGAATGGAACAAAACAAAACCCCGTGACAATAACATAGACACACCAGGAAGTGCGCACAATCCACAACCATGACACTAGTGTGCTCAAATTTTTTTTACTTTTTAGACCAGATTTTAGTTGGTCGATGGCGCAGTCTAATTCAGTTCCTCAAAATATCAACGCGCTAACAATGCCTTAACACACCTCCTTTTTAGACTGGAACACCCATGAGTCCACAAAGCGGCGCAAATTGGTTTGCTATTTAAACAATGTGGCGGAAAACTTGAGATGACAGTTGTGCTGGTCTGAAAAAAGCAACAAATCATGCCATACACATATTGCACCTTATTGCACCGTGTATAATAAAGCCCTCCGTGTTTTGGTTGCGATTACGTCAAACATTGAATAAGAATGCATATTTCAAAGCACTATATGGGACCTTTAAATGTTTTTTTAAGTTTTAAATGTTGCTTTTTAGTTTTTGCTAAAACTAAACACTAAAACAATACATTGATAATTCATGAAACTTTATGTAAAATTAACAGAAATACCAAATAGACTTGAAATCAAATAAAGTGAAACAGATTAATTATACATCGTACAATTAATCTTTTTTTAACTAGTTGCCATGGAAAAGGTGCTCATTTTTATTTGCTTAACTAATTTTCACCTCGCACTAAAGCAACTAAAATAGAAAAATAAATATAAACATTACATTTATATAGGATCTTAAATTTTCTACTTAGAGAAAAAATAATCATCGGTAACACTTTACTTGAATAGGTGTAAGAGTGTCATGAAACCTTTATGATCATGACATTACACCTCATAAATGTGAATGAAATTTTATGCATGCTTAAGACAACTGTTATTAAGTGTCACTTGCTCAGTTATGTAATTTGCAAAGATGACATTATTTGTTAAGATGGCTTGACATAAACAAATACATCACAACCAGGCTTCAACTTAAGATTGCCAAGACAACATAACTTGTCATAAATCTGTCATAAACATGAATGTCATGAGGCTTTATAATTTTCTAAACAGGTTTTGACAATAAAATGTTTTGTTAAATGTGAAATGTCAAAAAATGTACAGGGTCATTAATATTTAATATTTTAATGACAAATTCAGCTTGAACAACTGCAGTTGAGGTTAAAAAAAAAAAAAAAAATATATATATATATATATATATATATATATATATATATATATATATATATATATATATATATATATATATAACATTACTGTAAAAAATATATATCAAAAAACACAGTTCAGCCAAATTTATTAAACAATATTATTACTAACATTATACACTAAATAAAACAAATTTTAAAATACCTAATATTGCTTAAATATACAAAACAATCATCAAAATCTGAAGATGGTGACAGTAATGTTTGATTTTTGAGAAATTTTGAGAAAAATTGATGATCATTCAATAAAACATCACTGTCAATGACAACTTTAAAATTGTAGAAATGTCAGACCACAAGACACATTGCCTGACCAATCAAATTGCAGTATTTTCACCAGAGCTTCTGTGTTTATTGAATATAATTATTGTTATTTATTATAATTATTATTCAGTCCGTGCAAGAGTTAGTTTGCCAGCTGCCCTAATGTGTCTATTGGGTATCTATTTTTCTGCAGCACCCTGCATTTTATTGCAAAAATTTGTCAACCAGCACGAACACACACATCTTCCTTGTTTAATACATATGGCCTCATCAAACACTCACTCTTTTCCTCTGTGTTTCTCCTCTCCGTAGCTGTCAGTGCTCTGTCTTTGTCTCTGCGCCGGCAGAAACGGGACTCGCTCTCGCCTTTAGAAGAGGATGATGTTAGAGAGAACATCATTACATATGACGATGAAGGCGGTGGTGAGGCGGATACGGCTGCGTTTGACATCACAGCTCTTCAGAGCGCCCCGCACAGCACACGCAGAGGGTATCGCACGCTGGACAGCAGGAACATGTGAGTGTTTAAACTCTGATCAAACACTTTGTACGCTTAGTCTGGTACAGCAATGGAAAAACTTGGTCTGTACTTTGATGAAAAACTTGTTGAAGTCACTTGAAGGGAGGGTTCAGATCATAATTAATATTTCAGGATCATTTATTCACTCTGAGGTTTTGGGTTTTCTTCTAGTGGAACACATATGAAGTTGTGACTTTGTTTCCAATATGCATATGGTTTGATGTAGATATAAAAGGATAGTTCACGAAAAAATGGATATTTAATCACCATCAAGTGGTTCCAAACCTTTATGAGTCTTTTTTATTTTGTAGAACGCAAAGAAGATATTTTAAAGAAAGCTGAAAAACCTGTAATCATTAACTTCCATAGGAAAAACAAATGGAAGTCAATGGTTACAGCTTTCCAGCTTTCTTCAAAATATCTTCTTCATTGTTTAACAGAATAATTAAACTCAAAAAAAGTTTGAAATAGGTAAATAATGACAGAATTATTTTTTTACAGTGATCTATGCCTTTAATGTTGGAAAATGAGATAAAACAGACATACAAATACATTTTAATAAATAGCTTTCTTTTACCTAATCTGTGATTTGTTTTTTTGTTGCTATGAACTTATTTTAAGCTTTAATTTTCACATTGTCTTTATCTTCAAAGAAATGCAACATCACTTTAAATTGAGCTGTAAATGGCTCACAGAAAGTGAATGCAGAGGAAGGCCTAAAGAGCATTTGCTCCCTGCAGACCACACCATCTGACTCAGACACCTATGGTTTTATCACATTTATCACATCACCTCTCTGGAGGTTGCCACCAAACTTGAGAACAACAAAAGTAAAACATAATTATAAAATCCTATTTAAAACTTAACTAAAGCAAATGGCTACAAATGCATGTGCTTTTGCATTTGCTATTGCAGAGGCGAATAATTAAAGTGAATAACAACTTTTAGAGTTTAGTCTGTTTTAAAATTGACTTTAATTATTTATTTATTTAATTTTTATTATTGTTATTCTATTTTATTGGCTAAAATACATTTCGGTTCATGATATAGGGTTCTATTTTATCAATCTAGGCACAAAGCATCAAGCGCATGGTGCAAAAAACATTAAGGGGATGTCAGAATCCACTTTTGCTAATTTAAGGACAAAAACAATTTGGGGTTTGGGGTGCCAGGGTGCATAGTCTAACAGAGTTGTGCTTATTCTCGTAGTGAGTTAAGGGTGTGTTTTGAGCATAACGTGCATTAAACCAATCAGAGTCTCATCTCCCCCTTAAGAGTCAGTTGCATCACGCCATGGCGCATTTGTTTTTTACATGGGGGACTTTGTTAGTGGAAAAACTGAATGGAAAAAACTGAATGCTTCACCAGAGAGAAAACAGTTTAAACAGACCATCTGCAGCGAGATTAAAGAATGAGCCTTCTCCATTCGTCCTCTCTACTTTTTCTTTACTTCTTTACTTTCCTGGATAAGGAAACGGTGTTGTACGCACTTCACTAAGTACATCCATCAGCCTATATATTTAAATTTTGTTTATTAAGCACAAAGATTTGTTTGAAAACTATTTTTAAATTTTGTTCTAATTTCCTACAAATAAATGAACAACAATAATGAAGTGTGGTTAAAAAACTGAGCTATATCCAAACACACATCCTATTCTTATGCCACATATGTTGATGCATACGTGTCCAAAACCCGAAAGGTGGACAAATCTAAATGCAAACGGGAAAATTACGGTTGCCTTGGTCTGAAAATAGCAACAAATCGCTCCAAAAACGTCTTGCACCTTTTTGCGCCGGGTTTATGATGGGGCCCATAGTGTTTTTATTAAATATTTTTCATATTCATGGTTATTCATTGTGTGTTTTTTATTGTATTTTTTTTATTTTTATACATATTTAAAATTATTTTATATGCCCAAGACTACATGGAACATCCATTGATTATATATAGTTGATGTCAAAATTATTAGCCCCCCTGTTAAATTTGAATTATTTTATTATTTTTTTCCCAATTTCTTTTTAATGAAGATTTTTTTAACACATTTGTAAACAAAATAGTTTTAAAAACTAATTTCTAATAACTGATTTATTTCATCTTTTATTTTATATTTTTTATTCAGCTTAAAGTGCAGTTTAAAGGCGTTAACTACATTAATTAGGCAAGTTAGGGAAATTAGGAAAGTTATTGTATAACTGTTTTTTTCTGTAGCCAATTCGAAAAAATATTGCTAAAAGCTAATAATATTGACCTTAAAATTATTTTAAAAATGCTTTTATTTTAGATCAAATAAAACAAATAAGACTTTCTTTAGTAGAAATAATAACATTTGAAGTATTGTGAAAAAAACTTGCTCCATTATATTAGAAATTTTACATGAGGGCTAATAATTTTGCCCTCAACCCTACAGTATGTTCCATTAAACATCATTCACATCTTAGTCACACCAAGGTTATTTGTGTATTTCATTTTTATTCCATTGTTTTAACTTTAATTAATTTTATTAGCCAGGCTACATTTATTAACAACACAGTCACAAGACATAAATGAATGATTTTTTACCTTTGTTTGTCACACTAAATACATTATCCATTCATGAGATACTCTGTGTCTCCCCAGACGTTATTCACAACACGTTCAGGAGAAGGCTCGAGCCTATAGCAGCTGGGCTCAGGCTGGAGCTCTGGACCCTGGACAGTACGCCAGTCAAGGGGCTCCTCTATATGGCCGCTTTTGCTATAGCAGCCACACCCTGCCAGTGCTTCGCCGCTCACAGGGCCCCTACGAGCCTGGTTTAACCGAACTGGCCTACCGCCTCCCTGGGAATCAACCGGACCACTCTCTAGTCATTCAAAACCAGGCGGCTGTAGTTGGCCCTCTGGAGCCGGGAGCCATTTACATGCCAACCACAGAGGCCGGTCTTGGTTCTAAAGAAGGGACAGCGTCTCAGGATGGAGCAACCGCATCTGACGGAGGAACGCCAAGGAAAAACGAGCCAAAGGACGCCGTAAGCAGTGATGCCCAGCAGAGTCAGAGCCAAGGCCAGGATCTGGATTGGGTAAAAAAACACAACATAATTTATCTTTATTAAGTCATGATTCATCATGTTCAGGTGCTTTAATAACCAATGTTGGGGTAAAAACCAGATGGAGTTTACTAATTTTATCCTCTAGAGGAAAATCAATTTGAATAATTAATGGGCTTTTAAACAAATGAGACAATTACTTGTTGCTTTTGGCTGGATAAGTTAAAAAGCTGAACGTGAACTAAAAAAAAAGAACCTGTATGGCTAATTTTAATTCACAGACGCACTTCTCAGTCACACTCCAGCAGCATCAAATCAGTATGAATGTATTATGTCTAATAAACATTCATTGAACTGGAGACTTGAGAACGGTTGTGAAATTAATATTAATATTCATTTCACGACGTGTGTTTCTCCAAGACAGTTGTCACTGAAGGTTGTGTATTCAGAAATGGCAAAAGCAGCATGTAATTAAAGGATTGTACAACTTTTTGATGAATACAATATGTGCGTTATTTGCTGTCATGGAAATTTATGCATAGCGTCGCGCTTTTTAAGAGGCAAGCCAGGGAATTCTAATGTCTGATTTTTATACATGTACACATTTATGCAATGAAGCGCACTATTTGAATGTATTTGCAGACTGAAAAAGACACATTTATTTTATATTTATTATAAGAGAGAAGGACAAGCCGATTTAAATATTATTACTCAATTGAATGGGCATTATAAGCTGATAGATATGGGCCAGTAGGGGCCTTCTGCATGGTTAATCAGCTATAGATCACATATACGACAGCAGCTGGAAGTTAACAAGAATTATTTATACTATTTATTAAATTTCCCATTGTATTTTATAAAAATGTCTACCCCAACCCTAAACCCAACCATCACAGTAATGTAAAAACAGATATTAATCTGGAGTCTTCTCTATTAGTATAGCTGATTAACCACAAGAATTATTTATATTATTTATTAAATTTCCCATTAATTGTATTTTCTTAACGTCTACCCCTGCCTCACCCTGAAAGCTAACTGTCACAATAATGTAAAAACAGATCTGGATCTGGAGTCTTCTATATTAATATAGCTGATTAACTATGTGGATGTATGATAACAACTTTTTAAGCCTACGGGTAGGCGCAGAAGTCCCCTAATGGCCCATATCTGTCAACTGACAACCAATGATAAAGCCCATTCAATCAAGTGATAACATTCGAAGTGGTTGGAAGGACATCCCATATTTGAAAGTATTCACATCCCTAATTTTTTGGTAGGGATGGGCGATATGGACTTACAATTATATAATATTTTCTGCAATTTGCTGTGATATTGATAATTTTGACAATAATTTATATGTATCCAAAAAGTCCAGTATCTTTAGATAAAACTTAATTTTCATTTATTCATTAGTTTTTTCATTTTTTATACTTTCCACACTTCAACTCATCTCCTGGATGTCCACTGTCTTGCAATGCTCAGCTATATTTAAACACTGAAGCAGCTGATTAAGCTTTACAGGTTCAGATAAAAGACACAAGCAGATGTGTTGAAGCAGGGTAGTGGACAGAGTTTAAGACCTCAAGCATATACCTTGGAATGTTATTTCTGTGTCATTCATACTGGACACTAGAGGACGCTCTAGCATACATATATTTTTTTTCAAATGTGAAACAACTAGTTTTTAGCCAGCAGGTTCGTTTTTGCTTGTTTTTTTTTAGCTTCCAGTCAAGGTGTGTTTTCACATGTTGTCTCCCACTCTCTCTTTCATCTCATCCTCATCTCACAGTGTAGCATTAGCTCTTTTTAGAGCTCAATTAACCTGTTTCATCTGTTATCAACTCTTCCTCCTTTTTCCATCTGTCTGACTTTGTCACTTCCTTCCACTACTCGTGCTCCACAACACATTGCAGTCTCACTTCATCGTTATCACATTTCTCTCAGCTTTCACCTGCTCATTGCAAATTTTCTCTCTGCTTTCTTTTCCCTCTCTTTAACAATCCTTTCTCAAACACGTCCCTGTGCTGAATAACAGAAGAATAAACTCATCCTTACCTCCCGCTCTAACCCTCCTGCTCCTCCCCGTCCCCTACAGGTCCAGCCGGACACGGGTGCTCGCGACCGAGAGCTGGTTTTGACCCGTTCTGGCTCTATCGCTGGGCCAGGCACAACCAGCGGGTGGGTATGCGACTCCGCCACGCTCCCCCGAGCAGGACGCCACTCCTCACGGGGCAGTATATCCATAAATAGGAGCACCGCAGCACCTTCTGAGTCTAACCACAATGGGGTGGCAGACACAGCTAACGGGAGCAACGAAATGCAGTCTGTTAGTGCAAATTACGCCACCATCCTCCAGGGGGAGCAACAGAGAGACTACCCCGGAACTTTGGGACGGGGTGGGCTGGAGATGGGCAGTGGGTTCGTGGTGGGTCGACCAGAGAGAGAAGCCAGCATTCCACTAAGCACCGGGATGTATCCAGAGGGTGGCGGGTTCATAGGAGACTGGCATGAAAGGGTGGGGATAACTGGGTATCCGTTAGGAAGGAGGGATATGACGCCTCAGCTCCTTCCATATCCCGGTCAGGGCAGGGGGGCATTTGGCAGCATTTTAGGGTATGGCGGAGCATGGCCCCCACCACCTGATGCATCAGGAAGAGGGGCACCAGTCGGAGGAGCCCAATCCCTTGCCCTGAGGGTTGGCGAGTTCCTACGTTTGCGATTGGCGCAGGTGACCTTTGATCCCTCCCAGCCACCATACGACTCGGTGCAGGTGTATGGGCTGGAGGGCACAGGCTCCCGCGCCGGGTCTCTCAGCTCCCTGGACAGCGAGGGTGGCAAAGATGCCGAGAAGGACGTCTGGGGAGCAGGTCTAGAAGATTGGGGCCCACAGTTCCAGAAATTAGCCCAGCTTTTCAGAGAAAGGGAGAAGGAGAGCGGAGAAGATAAAGAAGGAGATGTGGAGGCCAGCAAAAAGCACAAGGAAAGCGACTGGGAAGAGAAGGACGAGCAGTCTGGAGACGAGGAGCAGGCCAATGTCTGAGAGAAAGAGAAAGAGAGATGGAGAAGGGCTGGGTGGGACAGTGATTAAAAGGAAACAAGAGGCGGAATAATGAAAAGTGAAGGGTAAGGAGGGAGAGACGAAGAGGAAAGGTAATAAGGGAAGACAAGGAAAAATGAACAGAGAGAGCAGAGGCAGTGGAGAGAGTGATTGATGCAATTTGAAGCAATAAGTGCGGAAAAGCTGACGTGTGAGCACAGTGTTTCTTTAGCCAGCATTTAACATTCCGTGAGTGTGTTTGGCGGTGAGCGAAAAGCAAAGTTCACTGTATACCAGATCACATTAAATTACGACAGAGGAAGAGAGAAATTTGAACTTTTGGATATTTGTGACGAGCTAGACAATGGTGCCACGGGGGAGGAGTGAGAAACGCTAGGCCGGAATAACACAGATGAAAAGTTGCGGCAACACATGAGGGAGTTGGGAAATTAATATTTGTACAGAAATTGTTTATACATTCACAAAAGCAAGAGAACTGAATTATTCAAAAGAAAGCACTGAATATTACAGTAAAGTCCTGAATAAGTGTCTGCACAAAGATTCTTGGTGTTTACACATACACACAGACAAAACAAACACACATCAATTTTAAACCCTGCTTGGAAATTCTGCTTCGTGGATGTCTACTTGTCAGGGTTCAAAATGACTCACATTTTTTGCCAAGAACAGATTGTATACAAAGTTGTCCAAGAAAAAAAAAAAGTCACAAAATTAAAATGTAGTGATGCTAAAATTGTGCAAAGCATATGCACAGTCATTGTCAAAAAAAATTAAAATAAAATCCCACGTACAAAACAGAAGGTGATTTATGAGAGCTGACAGATCTGCTTCAGCTAGAATGCACTTTTATACATGATGTTCGAAAATAGATTACAAACGTTGTTGTTGTTTTTTATTGGACAGAAATCAAAATATATATAGAAAAAAAGATGTTCTATGTAAATGCATTTAAATGTAAATATCACTGAATGCCATTGTGAAAAAGTGACAACAGTACTGTAGTCTGTAAGTAACAAAAAAATAATAGAATAATACAATGAAAACGGAGGACAATATACTATATTATATTACAGCCACTGGATATGACTGGAAGACTCTGGATTGACTGACACTGATTAATATCTGCCAGTACAATGTCAGATTCAGATGTGTCACTCTGCCCTAATGGAACTTATTTTTTTTGGTTTGAATGCAAAAGCTCCAGATAAATGTACGTGAAGTCCTTTTTCTGGGTTGAGCACACATTCTGCTTTGATTATTCCGGTTAATCACACTGTGGACTCACTGTGACTGGACTGAACCACTACACACTAATACCAGGGGGCATCATGCAGTACAAACTCACACCTTGTCAAACAGCCCAACAGATGTCATGCTCTGTCAGAAATATGAGCCTAAAGTGATTATGAACAATCAGTGTCAATACTGTTGTATTGTAAAGAGTATATTTACACAATGACAATTCCCCCTGGAGTCTATTAGATCAAACACTGTGTCTGCACTGGTTGAGAGTGGTGCGATGTATTTGACAAAAACAAAAAGAGTCGCTACATTAACGTGGGCAGTTTTTGCTTCTTTTTGATTCTGATCAAAAATTCCAGACAGTGTTAATGACAATGACAAAAATAACATGATTAAACCAGGAGGCAAGCTGTATATTTATGCAGTGAGTGAATGTGGCTTCACAAAATTGAAACTGGATTTGATCTTTTGACATCATTACACAAATATACAGATTACATACTGGTTTATGATGCACATACTACTGCTTTTTTTACTGCTTTGGTTTTAAAAAAGCATACAAAGCAATGACTGATGGGACAATATTGTTCTTGGCATAAAATGCCATTTTAACGTCATTGCAGATTTTTTTACAAATTTAAACATCCCTCTACAATCCCCAATTTGGGCAGTTCATTCTGATTGAAGTAGTTACAAGTGATTTTTTAATTATTATTCAGGTCTGCAAGTCCAATTACAAACTAATTATTTTAATCCATGTAAACCCTGCTAGTGATACGGTCTAAAGTGGATTCCATTAATTCCAAAAACAGAATATGGCTGTGAATGTTTTGCTTTAACTGTTTAGTGCTGCCATCCCTGAAGACCAGTGTAGACATGGGGTGACTCTTTAAAAGATTAGTTCAACCAAAAATGAAATTTTCTTTATTAATTAATCCCCCTTATGCCATTCTAATTTCCTGAGACCTTTGTTTATCCTCAGAACACAAATGAAGATATTTTAAATGAAATCTGACATGTCTCTGGCCCTCCATAAACAACAAGATGAAGGAGGTTCAGTAAGGGAACCCAAAACAGTAATCATACCAAGCTCCAAGAACACTTTTGTGGCTTTGTTTGCCTACATTCTCCTTTGGTTCTGGTGCATGTTTACTATAGCCCCTTTTACACAGTAAAAATTTTCTGGAATGACTTTATCGGTAATTTCAAAAATGCTAAATTAAAAAACTAAATTAGTTAAAATACTGGTAAATTCTAACATTATTAACCCGAAATGACTTTTAAACAGCTCCGCTTTTATTGTAATCATAGAGAGGTCCGTTTTTTTTTTTAATGGTTTCAACTTTATTGAAAGCTTTAGCATTCATACAGCTGCTTTGTCCCAGAGACATCCAAAGGCAGAAGTGCCAACGGCAGATAAAGTTTACACATTTGACTACATTACAAATTCTGTGGGTGGATAATTATTGTGTACAACTTAGATGAAAACATATGGAGGAACACTATCCCATGTCGAGATGTACATAATATGTGTGTTGACGCTTACTGAAACAAGGTAAACAGTGGTTTATCATAAGCCTTTTATCGATAATTTTTGACACAGTTGGCATTAAGAAGGAACATAGAAACATTATCTGACTAACATCTAGTAGCAAAATGTGTCTGGAAAAATATTCAAAGACCTTTATTTTCATAAACAACATGGATGTGATTGCGTCTAAATGTTCTGATTGGCTGAAGGAGATGTCTCACGTCAGCACGTTCTAATCGTGAATGCGCTCTTTCCGGCAGTTTCCCTCCTGCATTCACTCAGAGCAGCATACTGGCAAATTATCGATAAAGTTACAACTTGTCTTTCCGGAAAATTGCTGAAACTAATTTACTGGTATTTTCAAAAAAGGACCTGTTCACACATAACCCCTTTCCAGAAAATTGTCAGTAGTTTTCCGTAAAGGTCTGTATGTGTAAAAGCTTCTAATGGTTAATACTATGCTTGCATGTTGCATTGCTGACTCTAATAGCAATACATCATACTGCTTATAGTAAAATACACCCTAATAATGACACGATGAGAAAGAGAAACATTGGTGAATAAGATCATTTACAGGGTTTTTGTGCACAAAAGTGTTCCTGGAACTATGTGTGATTACAGTTAAACTACTGAAGTCACAGGAATGTTTTTGGTTCCTTCTCTTGACTTTAAATGTCAAGGGTCAGAGAGCTCCAGGATTTTATCAAAAACATCTTAACTCGTGCTATAAAGGTGAAGAAAGGTCTCAGGGGATTGAGACGACACGAGGGTGAAAAATTAAAACAGAATTTACATTTTTGGGTGAACTAATCCTTTAGAGCAGTGTTTCTCAAGCATGTTCCCGGAGGACCACCAGCACTGCATGTTTTGGATGTCTCCTTTGCCTGTCACACCCATTCAAGGTATTTCAGTCTCTGATCATGAGCAGATGATCTGAATCAGGTGAGTTTGGTTAAGGAGACATGGAAAATGTGAAGAGCCGGTGGTCCTCTAGAAATGTGGTTGAGAAACACCACTTTAGAGGATTGAATAAGTCCCATGTGAGTTCCTGTACTTCATTCATCCTGGTTTCTGCCTTCTTATTGGACTGAATTGTTGGTACTGAGATGTCACGATGGCGTGTACTAAAAATGTATTTATTCTGTTGTACTTTTTCCTTTTCTTTTTTGTAAATTTGAATAAAGACAGTATGTTTTGAGGTGATGTGTGTGCGGCCTGATGTGTATATGCTCTTACTCTCTTTCTTTTTTTTTTAAAGAACCTCTTAACTAAATTGACTTTTGACTCTTGCTACTTGTGCGTCCTAGTCTGTGTTTGCCTCTGCTTTGGAGCTGCCCATAGAGGCTCTTCAAACAGGGACTGAGCTTGGCAGGGAGTAAACACAGTGTCTAGTCCACTTACTCCCGAGCAGTGTGACAGACTTACAATGCAAGGTCAATAATGGAAACCGAGAGTTCAGATCGCAATTCAAGACAGACAAAAGTTTACAGCGAGGTTCACCTTGGAAATCACTCCATTTGAAGTGTGGATTGCGTAAAATTTTGTGGGATTTATTAGCAGGGCCTGACGTGTCTTAGCTGATCTGATGAAAGTGGAGAAAATAAGGTTGTTTCGAGCCACTGCACCTGTGAGTCAACCCTGCTTATCGTACACTTCAATCCTGCGATACGCGTACGAGATTGTGTTTAAACTAGCGCATTACCCACAAGTGCTGGCAAATAAACAAGCCACAGCCTTTTTGATTTGAGGCTGGTTAATTATTCATGAGCTCCAGTGCATATCCTGTTCAATTAAATTTGGTTTAATTACGTTTGAGAAGCTTGACACAGGAAATATTAGACTTGAATGAGAGAGACAAAGAGAGAGTGTGATTGCTTTAAAATTCACTTAGAGCAGGAGGAGGATTCGAAATGATTCAGAGAGAGCGAGATTATGAATGCGCGCTCTGTCCTTGAGTTACATAATGAATTGATGCGCAGGTTATTACACAATGCGCTGTGTATTTAAATAGGCAGGGTGTGAAAACCTACCACACATCCATAGGAAGTAAAAGTTAGGTAAAACTTCTCATCATCTTGTAACATGCAAATAAACACAAAGTCTTCTTGACATGCTTCGTAAAACAGAGTTATACCGTAGATGAGCTATTTCTAAAAGTAACTCCGAAGATTTATCACACGAGTAGAATAAGAGCAAAAATAACTTACTATTAACATACTAATTCACTGCACAAATGTCCTCATTAAAGATTCATTTGCTGAATTGGCCTACAATCCTGCACAACTCCGAATGAAGCTACTGATCATTAGTCTGCTGCTCAACCACAAGACATCTGGAATAGTGTATATGCGAACTGAGTTTTTCAGGTTTGCATTTTCTCCGCTTCCTCAGGGACGCAAAGGTGAAATTGCCCACCAACCTTGATAATTAGACCACTAAATATCTGGCCCACTGAGGCAGTGGGTGAAAGAACAGCAGCAAGACTGCACTTTTCGAAAGTCCCTGAAATACTGGAGGTGTACATTTATACTTGTGTATTACAGCAAACCGTATGTATGTTTGTGTGTGAGGGCATTGTTGTGATAACCCAAAAGTCCCCATGAGTAAACAGCTAAGCATTGAATAACATCATGTGAAAAAAAGTGGTTTTATTGTCTTTAGCCCACAGTATATGCAATTTTAGGCCACGCATGTACTATTGGCTTTTTTTGCCTTTTATTGTGGTGAAAATTTGCTGTTTGTTTTTGTTAACTGTTTATAAAAATGGAGATTTATCAGTGATTTTATCAGTGGTGTAGTATGGACATGTGTCCTCACTGCATCTGTGATTCAAAGATAAGCATTGGACATTCATTTAAATTTAATTATTATTTTTTATATACAATATGGGTGATGCAGTGGCACAGTAGGTAATGCTGTCGCCTCACAG